TGAAAAGCCCTTTGAGTTATTCATTTAAAATCGTTTTGAGGCAGTCCCACTATGTCTTCCAATGTGAGCAATAGTGAGAGGAAAAAGAACATTCAGCCCTTCAGTTATGTGCCAAAATCCATAATCTGGCTTTCATCTTCAAAGTTCATTCAAGAACCATCAAGAAAACGTTTAGTAAGTTTACAAAAGAGCGAACATTAGAGGAGAAAACTGGATCAGGAGGTCACAATAGGAAAAGGTGTCGTCATTTCAACATAGAATGAAAGAGAACAATTAGAAAAGATCCAACTCAATCCATACCTTGTTTGTTAGGTGAGAGTGGATTTCCAGCTCTGGTCCTCCAAAGAGCAGTGAAAACGACCTGAAAATGAAATAGTACGTGAAACGTGTGAGGCAGCTTGTTAGTCCAGGACAGAAATTTACAAGTTAAAGAGGGTGAGGATATCTTGAATACGTTGGAATAATCTTTTACATAGTTGAGAAGAATGTAACACAGAATGCGTACACAAACAGACGCAAAGGACGTATTCTGGATTCAGATCCTCAAGAGATTGAAAAGATTGTCATTTGAAAGTGTAAAACCCTGCCAAGATGATGGCTTTTGCCTGTGTAGCCTCCGATTGCAAGATGCCATTTACCGTATTTCAATGAGACACTGACAAGAGTTGACTATGTTCAAATGTTGAAAGAGGTAAAGACTTGAATTCTTTCTGAATATCCTGAGGCTAGAGAAAATAGAAACCCCAACAAGATGAATTTATATTCCAGCGGAATGCAATTCCTGTTCACACGAGCACAGTAGCTGCAGGCTTTCTTAGAGATGAGTTCGCGAAGAGGTTTTGTGATAAGGAAGCTTGATCTCATGCATCGCTTGATTTGAACCCCTTAGCCTTCATCATTTGAATGAACCTGCAAGCCCTCAAAAATCCATCAATAAGACCTGGGTGGAGAACATTGATAAAGAATTCGTTAAAAGAACTTGTGATTAATACAAGAAAAGGTTTGAGGATGTCATTGTCAAATGATTGGACTAGAATTGTTCTTATGAATTAGAACTAAATACCTTTAATTAAGCTTCTATTTGAACTTTATTTCAATATTTCATGAGCTTTCAATCCTTAGCTATGATTTATTAATGATGAACATGTCATTTTTATTATGATTGATTTCATCACGATTCTTCTGTTAAGTTTGGAGAGTAATTATACATTCTAACTGCTCACAGTAGATACTAATAGTTTTTAAAAAAGCCCGAAAAACCCCAGTGAGACATCTTTAATCATTTCTAAGATAAAATCGTTCAAAGCTTAATGTAACAATCGGACAATGTTGCTGTTACCATTTTGGGGCAATTTTGGTGTTACACGATATATATATATATATATATATATATATATATATATATATATATATATATATATATATATATATAATAGAATCGATGCGTTGGTCAATGAAACAAAGTCAAACAAAAGGGTACCGATGTGATCATTATAAAAAACATTTACTAACATTAACCAGGTGACAAAAATTAAACACGGAAATTGAGGCTCCAAGTTCAGAATTTTCCAATGCGCCTGTTTTCTTCGTCTGCAGATGCGAGAAATAAACATGGAGACTATCAACATTAGTTTTTGAGTTGATATATATATATATATATATATATATATATATATATATATATATATATATATATGAACTTTGATCTTTCATGAGCTTCTGATACTCAGCTATGATTAATTAATGATGAACATGTTATTTTCGTTTACGATCGATTACATCAAGATTCTTCTGTTAAGCTTAGAGAGTAATTATACAAACTAGAGTCCAATAGTGTTATAAAAAACCTCGGAGAATTCCAGTAGTATATCTTTAATCTTTTCTAAAATACAAAGGTTCAAAACTTAATCTACCAATTGAACAATTCTACTTTTACTGGTATGCGAAAAAAATGAAAATATTATGCATGTAAGAAATTCAATGAAAGCGCTGAAGTACAAAGATGACGGTTGTCGGAGACAATGATAATCATTCCAGCTGTCTCTCTTCTTCACCACAGTTTTAGGATGCTAATATTAGGCATTTTGATGACAGCAAACGACGTTCGTAGCCTCTAGGATCTATGATTGATATTATTTTCAGTGAATTCTTATAATAACAGACTTGTAGACGTCTCAAAGATTTCCACCACATGATATGTCAGTTTATCTCGCGAGAAGTGGACAATAATTATATTTGTGACCTGGACGATATATAATTACTATCGTTCATCCCAATAGAACTGGACTTGATAGAAGTTGAACCTATCGCGTCACAAATGACGGATTAATTAAACAAGAGCGAAAAACTTAAATATGATTATTAAAATTGAATTGAATTAAAACTCTGTTTCATCCTCAATTGAAATCTTTGGTTGAAGATGAAACGGGGCTTGATACTTTAATTCATTTTAATTTTAATAATTATATTAGAGGTTTTAGATCCTGTTTTCGAAACATGAGAACTCTTATGTAGCGAAGGAATCATATTTTTAAAAAATACCTAACGTGTTCGTTCCTATCCTTCTATATATTTCACACACGCACACACACACATACACACACACATAGATAGATAGATAGATAGATAGATAGATAGATAGATAGATAGATAGATAGATAGATAGATAGATAGTAACTTAAAAGCCAGCCTATCGGGTGGCATTTAAGCTACATCCTGTTAGATTCCGCCATCTTCATAATAAGTAGGGAGAGGTAGATGCGATAAGTAAAATAAACTACAGACGACCGCACAAATGATTGCTGCATTTAAATATTGCATTAATATTTAAGGTTGCCTCTTAAAAATTCAACGATAATTCTTCTAATTCACTTAATTTAAAGATAATTTGATGTAAGTCGGTCTTTTAATTTCTGTGCAAAAAATTACTTTATTTCATGGGTGAATTTGAAGAATTTTCCAATTAATTTCGATTATTCCCAAACTTATTTCCAAGTTATAAAGTTGTTATCATACAAAAAATTCGTCGCAAAAATTCACGTAAAATATCGCCGAAAACAATAGGAGTAAAGAAAACTTGAGAATCCAAAATTTCAGGAATGCTATTCCGGATACTGCACGGAATGTTTTTAATTTGCTCAAGGAAATTCCAAAATGGAATGATATATTGGGATATGACATCTAGGAGTAAAGTTTATAAAACGGATAATTTTCATTTTGAAACATTCTATTTTGAGAACAGCAATTTATTTTATTTCAACATGAGCTATTGAAAGTTAGAGAGATGTGTTGTTTTAATTGCTTTATCAGAGTAGCCATGATTGTAGAATCCGAAAAAAATTACAGTAATGAAATCTTGGAAATCCAAAATTTCAGGATTGCAGGCTATGGACCCAAGGTTTAAAATTTTAAAAGTGGGACACACTGACATTCGCATATATATATATATATATATATATATATATATATATATATATATATATATATATATATGGTCAATCAATATTCGAGCCAAAACACATGGCATGATGATTGCATTTAAGCATAAAACAGACAGTCGCCGCTTGCTGTTGTCTAATTACCACTTATATTTACATATGCTCTATTCCGTGTATTGAACACATATAACCCATAAATAGCATACGGTAAAACTATGATTTTATCTCACGCATACACACACAAATATATATATATATATATATATATATATATATATATATATATATATATATTAACAGTATTAATCGCTTGAAAATCGTGGATGACTCAACTTGTAGACACCTGGGGGCAAATTGGTACCTGAGGAAAAGTTGGAAGTAAAAAAAGAAAGAACTAAAAAAATCAGAACAAGGCGAAACAAATCGTCAAGTGTCTTAAGTCCTTAGTCCAAAGAAAAAAAAAAACAAGCGAGTATAAAGACTAAAACGTCGACGGCTCAATACGTTAAATAGACCGGTAAATTAGAATAAATCCTAAGGAGCTTGGCAAATATACCTAGGTTTTACCTAAAAGAAATCTTCAGGGTAAACTGGCCTTACACACACACACACACACACACACACACACACACACACACACACACACACACACACATATATATATATATATATATATATATATATATATATATATATATATATATATATTATTTGGTGGTTGGGTAGAACCTGTGCGTAAATTGTGATTGACTTTTCGCCATCACGGTTGTCCTACGGAGCTGAAGAAGTATATTTCTTGAAATTCGTCAATGGATCCTGAGGTCTGCACACACAAAGTGGGGCGAAATTGGAACACTAGTAATCAGTTGTTGTTACACATGTAAATTTGCAAGGCGGATCTTTCCTCTATGAATATTAATTTTTTGGATGGCGGTCTTCTTCTTCGAATCTTACTTCTTTGATCTGATCCTGCATTGTAGGTTGATTTGGATTGCGTCTTTTTACTGTTTCTTTTGGCGCCCTTGTTCTCTTCTGGCACATACTAGTTCTCATACACCCGACGTCCAAGAATACGCCGTGGCTCCCTGCGGACAAGATGTTCAGTCTATCGGACTTATGCCTCCAGATCGGTTACGTAATGATGATGAATGTTCAAAACAGACCTGTTTGGTAATAATTTACAATGGGAAAATCGTTATATTGTAGTAATCCCACTCTATTGGCCTACAGAGTTTGTTTTTTTTTGTGGGGGAGTTGTTTTTTTTTTCATCCAGTGGCACGAGGATTCCTTAGAATCGCAAAATTACAGACTGATTTCAATGTCTACGATTTGCCAACGCTTGGCAGATTACTTAAAGGCAGATAATATTTTTATATTGTAAGAATTTATTTGGAAGACAATAAGGATTTATTGATACAGGTCTTATCTATAGCTGAAAGCGAAGACGTGGATATCTTTTCCAGGAGTATTTGCAGGTAATTGAATATACAGAAACCAACTGGAATTGAAACTCAGCTGTCGGATTAACAATTGCGATCAGTGACACCACCCGCACATTCAAGCTTACAGCTTCTATTATTCACAAGTGGTTAACCATCTACGTACTGACCAGGCTCGACGTTGCTTAACTTCGGTGATTGTACGGGGATCGGTGTTTGAAAGTGATATTGCTGTAAGCCCTATCTTTTTGATAGTATCAAAAGACCGGGTAATTAAATCAAGAAAAACATCGCACATAAGGAACATTCATACTGCCAAACTGTTACCTCTGCAGATGACATAGACATTCGGTTAGATGATGAAATGAAGAAGGAGATAGATTTGAATGTAACTGAAACAGCATTTCCGAATAGAAACCTGAAAGATAAAACCTAGCATAGATTATTGGAGAGAGGAAATAGAAAGACAGAGTTTCTCATAAAGCAATGTGTTTTGTTTTTTTGTTTTTGTTTTTTTTTTCGAAAAGAGAATAATGGAGGACTCTTTCACAGAAGACCGCGAAAACCATATTGAACAAAAACAAGAACTGTCAATAAACGAACAGATGACCCTATACCAAACTGCATTACTTTCGTGCGTTAGAAAATGACAGAAAAGTTCCTTAAGACGAGAAATCAAACAGATCTGCAGTTTGCCTTCACGTCAAAACAATTTGAAGATTATTCTGACCGCTTCTCCTACAAATTCGAGCATATGTCCTCATCCTTAAAAATGTCACGTCGAAAGAAAACATAAAGTTTAGTTATTCGTATCAATTCATACGTAAATCAGCAAATATGAGATCAACTTGATAATAATAGTAATGTAAATATAATAATTCATAATAATATATAAAATATTTGTAAAAATATAACCTCACCTGATGATAATATATAATCGACAATTCACCACAAAAAAGGCCATAAATCCTGAAAGATACAAAGGGGTTACTGATTTATAAAGGATCTTAAATAAGATGTTATTAAACAGACAGGCCAGTAAAAGAACGGAAAAGAAGAAGGCAGACGATGACGATTATCATAGCATTTTAATTTTTGAAGATATAATTTAACACGAAAACAAGAAGCCAGATGAAAGATCTACGAACAGGAAATGAGAGAGAAGAGACTGTTAGTATAGAATAATATTAATTATAGTTAATTTTAATGATTTCAATTGCAAAATGTCAAGACTTCGCTGTCAATCTCGTTTAACTCATAAATTCGTAATGTATACGCCCTAAAGAACATCAGAAATATTAATATGAAAATGTTTATAGAAAAACAACGGGTCAGATAACCTAAAAGAGAAATAAATAGAGACTATATTAAATAAATAAAATGTGTATTTTGATAAGAAAAAAATAAATATTCTACAATAATATCATCATCATCTTGCGGCCTCAGCCGAGATTGAACTCACTAATACTTTGATTGGTGTAGTTCATAATCTTGTCAAATAGCTGAATTCTTGATGCTTCGCTAGGGCTATCAAAGGTGTTTTTTATCGTGACACCAACACTAAATGGATTGCCAACCAAGGCAAAGAGAGACTCCATTCACCTAAGAGCAGGTTTGATTTCAGAGTTTTCCTTCTCCTAGACCAGTTGCCATCCAAGGCTATAGAACCCAGTCTGTCCTGCTATTTACCCATAGCTGGAGGGAGAAGAAAGAGGATTCACAACTTTTCTAAGGGTGTTAACACATAAGTGAATATAATGGATTCGACTGGAATTCGAACTCGGCTCTCCAATTCCTCAATCCAAGCCGCTAACCATTACTCCACCGTGCCTACAATAATATAATAAGTAAAGAATAAACGGGCAGTTGAATAAATATCACTTAACTTTAATTTTTCTATTGCTATCTTGGGGTGATCAAATAATCGTTAGTTCATTGCAACTGTCAACGGTCCAAAATAAATGACTATTAATATATTGGAAATATATAACAGATTTACAGATTAATGTAAAAACAAAGACAGACACTTATGTAAATTAATTGCCACGAAACGAATAATTCCGTTACTTACTTTTTACGTAAAAAAAGTTTCTAGTAATAAGAAAACTACTAAATAAGGATATTTAAAACTTACTGTATATATATATATATATATATATATATATATATATATATATATATATATATGTGTGTGTGTGTGTGTGTGTGTGTGTGTGTGTGTGTGTGTGTGTGTGTAATGATTCATTTTTATCAAACGTTTTAGTGTTTAAAAGCTCCAGAAAATTTATTTCCAGGAGCAAAATGGCCATAAAATTGGGGTACAATTGAATTACATTTTATTTAATTCATATATATAAATATATATGTGTGTGTGTGTGTGTGTGTGTGTGTGTGTGTGTGTGTGTGTGTGTGTGTGTGTGTATGTTTATGCTCTACGCTGTATTGAGCCCTGTTTTAAATTAAATATTAGGAACGTTGAATTGTATTCGTTCTCATCTTACCTGGATATATATATATATATATATATATATATATATATATATATATATATATATATATATATATAATTATTTATTTAAAAATATGATTCCAAAACGCTACATAAGAAGTCTCATGTTTCAAAACATGAGCCGAAAACTTCAATATAATTATTTAAATTAAATTGAGTTAAAATAAGCTCTGTTCCATCTTCAAGCGAAATGTTTTGGGGAATAACGTATATGTGAAATTTACGTGTTTTAAAAATTTAAATCAAAATTTCCATGGTAACAGCTAGGGCGAATTGTTTAAGTTGGGTAGGCGGGTGTTGGGTGTTAACAATAAGTATCAGTATAGAGTTACTTTCATAGATGTCAAGTCAGGGAAAGGTAGGGGTGTCTAAATTTTAAACGGAAGATGTATTAACTCTCGTCTAGTTTGCATGTCTATGGAGATTTATTTATTTATTTTTTATGAAATGGATTTGTGCATATAAAAAAAACTGTCGTAACGTTTGTTTTTTGACGACTTCATAAAGGGTTATCTTTTTTGTAGGGTATTTAAACTATCTATTTGGGCTATGGATTATGAAGGGTGTTATATTGTATGCATGTTTTTAGTTAATTATTCAAACCATGAATCTGATGATTGGGCTATGGATTAAACAAGTTATTATATTTTATGCTTTTTTTTTTAGCTAATAATTCAAACCAAAAATCTGATGATGTCTACAAAAAACCGTTAACTCGTGTCTATTGTTTAATAGATTATTATTATTTAGAAGCTTAATAATGTGCAATTTTTCATGGAGGCATAAAGGGCATGGGTCATCCCAAGTTTTACATGTTCTAGCCTTGTTTATAATTTTCCATTTAACTTTAGGTATCCTATTTGTTTCCTTCAGATGCCAAAAATATTTAGATAGGGAAGTCTGATTTCAATAATATAAATATAAACAAAAGAAATCAGACCTCCCTATCTAAATATTTTTGGCATCTGAAGGAAACAAATAGTGAATTTTCGACTCTTGTTTTTAAACATGAGACTTCTTATGTAGCGTTTGAGATTATATTTATGCTCTACTTTTGTATCGAGCACATTTTTTAAATAATAACTAAAATATTAAAGGATTTTGGATTATTTACCTAACCAGTTCCTTCCTATTTTTTTATATATTTTCACACACACACACACACACACACACACACACACACACATATATATATATATATATATATATATATATATATATATATATATATATATATATATATATATATATAGTAGAGTAGCTAGCACACCTTCAGATCTCTACCAGATGACCTGGCTCATAGACTTTAGTAGTTCACAATTTAGTAGATTAATAGTTAGTTGTTACTCAACAGTAGATTAATAAGTTGATACTAAGCTGATTAATATTCGGACTGATCGTACTTCGTTTGGCTTTACAGGATTTGTCCGTTCACTATTCTTTGTAAATTGTCTTCTTAATTGTTTTGTAACTTATTGTTCTGTGTTTGTTGTATGCATCCGCCTGCACCGGATACTGACGCTGAAGAAATATATTAACCACTCATTCTTCTCTGTTTATCATTCACCTCGGCGATAAAACACACACACACACACACACACACACACATATATATATATATATATATACATATATATATATATATATATATATATGCGTATGTGTGTTTGTGTCTGCGTTTGTGTGTCTGCGTGTTTATATGTTAGTTTTGCTCATGTTGCATATATTAATTTAAATTTTTTTAAATCCAACCATATTTCTTCATCAGCAATATGGTTTCCGAATTTATTATTGATAGGTGATTATTTATATTGTATACATACATACATATGCATTTATACATACATCTCTCTCACTCATATATATATATATATATATATATATATATATATATATATATATATGTGTGTGTGTGTGTGTGTGTGTGTGTGTGTGTGTGTGTAGTCTCTATTTATGGGTAAAAAGTAAATAATATCAGGGATGTCCGTACGAACGGCGACCGTGTTATTAATAATTGAATGCAATCTTCAGGCCATGATCGCGTTTAAGCTTCAGATTGTCACAGCTCGAAGTTGACTACAGTATCTACTTCATATATATATATATATATATATATATATATATATATATATATAAATACATACATATAAGTTAATTTTAAAAGATCAAACCACCTTAAGTATCCATAGATTATAATATTAAACTAATTGAAATTTTTAAGTTGTTTTTAATTTTAAATTTTAACATTAAATATTAACTTTTAACTGAGATTTTATTAATAATATTAACAATATTTTTTTTATTTTGTTGGTAAAATGAAAGTATTAACTGTATATAATATCAATCTGAATTTTTGAAATGAACCGCAATATGCCTATATATGATAATTTATTCTTTCTTTTCTTCTTTTTCCCTTTTCCCACAGACGTGCTCCCCCTTTGTTCTCTATTAAGTCATCTCTTTTTTCTTTGACTTCATTGTCTTTCCTGTGAAATGACTTGTCATGTAAGCCAAAATCTTTGTCCCCTCCCCCTACTATACTTACACAAACGTATCTTAATAAAGATAGATTTAAACATATACCTTATTCCGCTTCCCCATCTCTCTGTCACCTTACATCATCTTCACACTACCCGTCAAAAACTTGTATAAAAATAATTACATGTAAATTTTAAAACCATTTTCTTCTATCCTTGGAAATGTTATGTGAGGATCCAGGAAA